ATGAGAGAGCTGTGACTGACCGTTCATGGGGCTCATCTGGATTTCTATCTGCATCTCAAGCTATCTCATGTTACATACAAAAAAAGCACCGTCTGATAACCCATTTCTACATAAATGTGTAATTGCTGTTTCCAAAGAGAGGAACAGCTGCAAAAATCATCCCAAAAGCTTCCATACACTTTCTTCCTTAGACTACAAATTCACCTTGTCAAGTTTAAGATGGCCTGAATAATGGCCTCTCTCTCTCTCTCTCTCTCTCTCTCCCTCTCCCTCCCTTAGAGTAATGATAAAACTTATGTTTAATCGTTGCTCTAAGATATGCTTACAATACCTAATCCAAAGCTAATAATTATATCTAATGATGGCTCACCTGAAGCTGACGCTCCGGCACGTGTGTCAAAAACCACACTGCTTCAGAAGCACTGTGTCAAGGTTTGATTTGTTTGGCCAGAGTCATGTGATCAGTGACATTTAGAACGTAGCTGATTCGATGGTTTATAAGGAAGTGGATCATTCGCGGGATTTGTGGAGTGCTTTGATGGTGAGAGACAACAAACCACCGATCATTCTACTGAGCGATACCGAGCCAGCAAGGAAGAGGGGAAGTTCTGTTGTGTGGGAGTATTTTGAGTTGATTTTCCTCAATCGGGTGGGTTTGCCAGCTTTCTATTCTTGTTGTTTGTCTTTGTTTTGATTGTGTTTATTTTATTTTTAATAATATTATTTACAAACATACCTGTCCAGCTGTCCAGTGATTAATTGTATAAGTACCTGGAGGCGGGAACTCACAGCAGAAGCATACTCATAATGTGTTGTACATTATTATTATTAAAGAAAGACCACACCATGGCACATGTTTAAATAAGGGAAGCTTATTGATCAAATGTATCTATTAAACAAATAGACATAATTATTTCACCCAAAAAACATACATATTCAAAGCAACAAAAGTGTGGCCCAATATCAGACAGAACTGTGAACTCTGTAGAATGGGCAGTCATAATAAAGCACTACACTTTAATTTGTAGATTCAAGCTGTTCTTCATAATTTTGGCCACCAGATGTCACCAGAGAGGAATGTGCTGAAAAGCTTCTAGTATGAAGTGTTTTTAACACAAGCTTCAATGCTTCAGAAAGCTTCATTTGAGCATCTAATAGACTCCAGTTTGTTTATGTAAATCAGGGGTGGGAGACTCCAGACCCAAAGGGCTGATGTCATGCAGGTTTTAGATATCACCTTGGGTCAACACACCTGAAACAAATGATCAGTTCTTTACCAGGCATCCAGAGGAATCAGAAACATGTTGAGGAGGTAATTTATCCATTTAAATCTGCTGTGTTGGATCAAGGACACATCTAAAACCTGCAGGACACCGGCCCTTGATGCCTGGAGTTCCCCTACCCCTGATTGAATGAGTCCATTGCCTATCCAAAACCTAGAAACCTTCCCAATAAAGCAACGGGGACAGAGACAACTATAAGTGTTGATATGTGAGTGCTAGATCAACTTAAGTCTGCTACTGCAAATGAAAACATCATAGTTTACACATACTACAATTGACTAGACAAGCTAACCAATGCCAGTCTAGTGAAAGGTCCAAACAAGAATACACTCCTGTTTATAAAAAAGATATTATTATTATTTTTTAAGTTATTATTATTACTTAGCAGTGATTGTTCCAGAATAAAACAAATATGGATTTGAACGTATTTCTCTGCCTATGGTAGTGCAGTGCTCCATAGTTGTATATGAACATTTAGAATATTGCTTTGTTGTTCTAAAACTGTCATATGCGAGTTTGCATATTTACTGTGCCACCTTACAATACTGTGATTTCCTACACATACTGTCAGTGCACTGTGTGCAAGTGTAGAATTAACCCTCATGTCATTACACTGACTCCATTAGTTACAGAAAACCTTGGAAGAACTTCTGCTTCCTAACAAAGAATGATCAAAATACCTCTGAAATAAGTTTGAGTACACACCTGCTAGACCTCATATCACTGGAAAGAAATCTATAAACAATAATCAACAAAACTTTGTGAGGAAGCAATTTCACTCTCCTTCGGTCCAGCTGTAGCTTCAGGTCTACTCAGCACTCCCCACTTTTTTGTGATTGCTTATTCACAATTACATTGGTCATTTCCTTTAAGGTAAAACTCAAGAAATTCCATTTGCATATGAATTGTCCTATAAACACACTTTCTTTGTCTTCCCTAGCAGTTATTGAATAGTCGCATCCACCTCTAAAGTAATTACATTTTAATCTGTTTTGCAGAGCAAGCAAACAACATGTAAGATGGTAGATTACAGAACTACCTGACATTCAGCCACAATGTAGACAAAGCAGGATAACTTCTAAA